AATTAAAGAGTTATCTAACCATCACTACAATCCACTTTAGGACATGTTCATCAATCCAGAGATCAAACCCATGCCAATTAGTATGCACTACTCATTTCCCCATAATGCTTTCAACTCCAGACAAATACCAGATCATTTTGTCTCCATATATATGCCTATCTTGTTCATTTCATATAGATTGAAATAATTCATTTATGGTCCTTTGTTACTGGGTTGCTTGTCTTAGTGTATCACTTCAGCATTAATATCTAATGACAGCTAAATTTTTTCCCTTTCTGGATTTATACATTTGCTTTATCCATTTATCAACCCATGGACATTTAGTTATTTACACTTTAAGGCTATTACAAATAATGCTTCCATGAACATTCATACCAAGTTTTTTGTGGGCATATATTTTCAGTTCGCTTGGGTCTATGCCTAAAAGTGAAATTATGAGTCATATGGTAATTATATATTTGAGTGTGAGGAATGTCAAACAGTTTTTCAATGCAGCGACATCATTTTATATTCCTAGCAGTATCTCCTTACCAATACTTTTTGCTTTGTTTGCTGTGTATTTTGAGATTCCCTTGAGTTTATTTTAATTATAATTGTCTTTGTGGGTGTAACATGATACCTCATTTGAAATATACTTCCTTCATGATTAATGAGATTTAGAACTTTTCATGTGCTTTTGCTCTTTTGAAAATCTCTTTTTGAAGAAATACAGAATCCTTCTGCTTACTTTTAAATTCTGTTTTTTGTGATTTTTTTTGGTTTGTCTTGTTTTGTTGTGATCCTTTCACATATTCTAGTATAAGTTCTTCTCATAGAAATTATTTGAAAAACGTGTCTTCACATTTTGAGTTGTCTTTCTATTTTTACAATAACATGACTGAAGTATAAAATTTGTGTTGTGTAATACTATTTTTTTTCTTTTGTGTCCAATTGTAAATTAAGAACATATCTAAGAAATAAATGTTTATGCTTGTCTGTATTCCTACTAAGCTAATTACATATTTTTTTCTTTTTACTTATCCAACTATTATTTGAGGAAGTATTAATCCTTTTTACTGTCATGCAAGCTTACAGGTCATCTCAGAAACAAGGGGAGAAAACGAGGGAGGGTCAAGGAGGATATAAGCGGATATCATAATGTTCTTTGAATTGTATGTAAAAATTACATCATTTCTGGTAAAAACTAGTTAACATTAAAATTAAAAAACAGTTGTCTAATCTGACACAAGATGATTTACTCTTCTATGAGTATGTACTTTTAGGTCTTAACTTAAATGAATGTTTTGAGTGTAATGTGTCACAAGTCCTTTGTTTCCATGGGGATGTGGTTGTAAAGAGGCTGTTCTTTGTACATTGAATGGCCTTGGTAATCTTGCTTAGACAAATTGGCCATAAACAATTTATCTGTGAATGCTCACTTACACTTCATAGATTCATGTAGCTATAGTATTCCACACTCTCCTGTTTATTGTGGCTCTACAGCAAGTTTAGGGGTCAGGAAGCTCTAGGCCTGCAAGTTAGATCACCTCTTTTTCAGGGTTAATTTATTTCAGGACCTACCTGGATCCCTGACATTTTCATATAATTTCTAGCACTAGCTTGTAAACTTCAGCAAAGAGGCTATTACAGTTTCCATAGGCTTTGCATTGAATCTGTAGTTGTTAGGACAATATTGGAATTTTAACAAAGATCCCAATGAACCAATGCATGAACCAAGATATCTTTACAGTAATGTAGATATATATATTTTTAAACCAATGATGTTTTGTGGATTAAACTTATTTTGTTACCCATGATGCTGTTGTATGTGGAAATGTTTTGCCTCTATTTTGGTATTGTCCATTGCTATGACCTAAAATCAGTTGATATGTCTGTATTTATTCTGCATTATGTATGCTTGCTAACCTTGTTTCTTATCTGTCGTATTTTATTCTTTGGTTTCGTAGGGTATTCTGTGTGCATGATCATGCCATATGCAAGCAGAACATTTTGCATCTTTTCCCACCTGATCAAGTGATTTCCCTTCTGCTTCTTTACATTTCCTAGCTAAAAACTTGAGTGTAGTATTAAAATGAATCAGAGGAAATAAGTATCATTGGCATGGATAGTGGATGAAAATTTTCAATATTTCATGAAAGAATATGTTAGCAGTTTTTTGTAGATTGTGCCTCTGAGAATGATGAAATTCCCTTCTCTTCATAGTTTGAGAGTCCTTATCATTAAGGACGATAATCTGTAAAAAATGCATTTATTAAGTTAATAATTTGATTTTCTAATTCTATAAATGCACATTCTGGATTTTTTTCTTAGCAAACTTTTATTTTTAAAAAAACTTTATAAAGATGTGAGTGACATATAAAAAGCTATACAAAATGTAATAAATTACCTCAGCGAGTTTTGCACTTAAAGAACCATTACCACGTTCAAGGCTATAAACATAAATATAACTGCTCCCAAATTCCTCCCCTTTGTTAATGTGTGTGAGTGTGTGTATGTCTGTGTGTATACATATGTATTTCCTATGTTATGTATATATTTTAAGAATTCATAACATTGTATAATAGTTATGTAGAAGTTATATATCTTGCTTATTGGAAACACTGTGCCCTTCAACTACCTTCTCCTTTCTTTTTACCCTCCTTGGCACCCAACATTGTGTCACTGCCTCGGAGAGCTTGGCCTATTTAGAGTCTACATATATCTGAAATAACACAGTATATGTCTTTCTGGGTCTAGATCATTTTACTAAATGTGATGCCTATATCATCAATGATACAATTGATGGGACAATGCTACATCTTCTTACCCATTGGTCTGACAAAGATTTAACACAAAATAGGCAAAACTAGATTTATAGCAATACTGTTAAATGCAGGAATCTATTTCTATTTTTGTTTTGGTATTTTTGAGGTTTTATGGTTGTTTGCCTTGATGTTAATTACCACATATATAGGACAGCAAATGGTATTTAACTTTTTGTGTCCAGCCTGTAGCACTCAATATGTTGCTTTTCAGTTAAAACCATTTTTATTCAAATTGTAAAATTTGGAATTAGAACTGGGAAATTCTTTCTGTCCTTTCTATTTTCCCTCTCTCCCTCCCTTTCTCCCTCCTTCTCTGTTTCTCTCCTTCCTCTCCTCCCTCTGTTCCATTTTTCTCTCTCCTACCCCCTTGTGTATGTGTGTGTGTGTGTTTAGGCACCACTCAGGATTCCAGTGGAACAAGGGTATAGTGCCCTTTATCTCCCTCAGAAACAAACAAACAAAACAAACAAACAAACAAAAAAACTGGTAATCACAATCCCCAATGTGACACTGAATTCTGGGAGACTGAAGATCCACACCCAGGAAAGCTACATTCCTCTCAAACTCCTGGTTGTGCAGGGCATGGATGATACTACCCCCAGCTGTCATAAGGCATGCAGGGGCATTATGGCATTTGTGCCTAAGGCATCTTGCACTGTGAGCTTAGAAATACAGTGGGACCCAATGCTCCAACTGGGTGCAGATTTCTTATGGGCTGCTGCTGGTACTAGCCCCAAGACTCTTGATTTCAATAGTATATAAATGTTTTACAGTTACTGCAACTACTAACTATAGCCATATACCTTTCCCACTCCTTTTTGAAATTATTTTCTTTAAAATATAGCTATGAATATTATTTATCCATAGCATTAATAAATATCTTTATTCATTTGTCTTTCAAGTCAGGATACACAAATTACAATCAACTTTCTGTTCCCTTTTATATAATTTGATCTTAATTGGGAGCTAATTTACCTTTGTTAAATACAGAGCAAAGTCATTAACCATATTGGACAGAATCTTAATTCCTTCTATATTTAGGACTTGAGCTTCCGTGCTGATGGGTACATGATCAAGTAAAACCAGTGAAAGTGCTCAACACAGGCTTGGGAAACTCTTTTTTTCAATCTAATGCAAACTTGATGTAGCTCTTCACAAAAGGCAGTTATACACAAATGTTCTGTAAAGTCAGGAGGACAAATGTGAAAACATTACCATGGTACCTAACAGGTGTAAATAGCAGCTATCACCAGTGCCTTACAAGGAAATCACATTGCATATGTATGTGTCCATGTGCATATTAGTTTCTAACAGAACCCAATAAAGCACTTACTTTTCCGGCCAGAATGAAGGACTTCCAGTGCCCTTCTCTCAATGGCTACTTTTGCATCCAAAGAGGATTAGAACAAGGAGCATACAAATGCAGAGATTAGCCAAAAATCAGAACTGTGTTGCAACCCTAAGAAAAGAGGGAACAATAAACGAACACTGGTAAACATTTTGGAAAGCATATTGGAAACAAAGTCATCATGTTACTATGTATTTAATAACTGTATCTTCCAATAGAGGCTAGAAGTCACTAATTGAACTTAGATACCATAGAAGCTCTTGTCCTAGCTGTTGTCATATTATGAGGCACAAATAAGAAAAAGATTCTAAAGTACGTTAGAGAACTGCAGTCTAGACTCCAGAAACACATGCTCAGCAACGTGGGTGCTAAATTCTTACCAATTTAATGTTGCATAGGTATTTGTCTCAGGTCAAAATGTAAGACTCCGAATCTATTACTGTGATTCTAAAAATCCTGTCCTTCATTACTTTGATGAAATGTGAAAGCTGGCGTCCAGAGCTGTGGCCTAGTAGTTTAAGACTTACCTACAACATTGGCCACCTCTCTTCCAATCCATAAATGCTGGGCAGTATAATTATCATGATATAAAAATGATATTCTTTATTCATCTTGATTTGCAGCTCCTATGTGAAATGACCGATTAAATGTTTCTATTTTGCTCACTGTCTTTTCAATAAGTGGTGTGCATGAGTGTGTATATGATGTGCACTGGAGTACAGGTTTCAGACCCTGTGAGTAACAATAGTTTTGAAAGATTTTGTGGAAGTTGATGAATATAGATGAATATTTTTATGATGCTCTTGATGTCCTTTCTAACAGATGTATTTCTTTGTGTGTTTTTTTAGCAGGAGTGATCGTGACACACGTTGTTTATCCAGTCCTCTCTACCTGCATCCAACGATGTCCCCATCTTCTACAGCAGTAAGTCGTGATCTCACTTACCTGTACTAAACTGTTGGCCTTAGGGGATATTGTTGTAAATTATTGGGTTTACGCTCCTCTTATTTCTAACACCATTTCCCGAACAAGTGTTGCATGGATATATGAGTTAAGATGGATGTTTAAGTGTTAGGATAAGCATTTCTCTGCTTAGGATTGTAACACCAGGGGATTTTAAGATGTCACCAAGAATTTTAAAGTCCTTTACCTCTTCTCTGTCATCCTACTTTAATTGATTCATTCATCAAGAATTTATAGAAAATCAACTATGTGCAGGAAAAATACAAAGATCATGATCTATTCCCTCATGGTATTTATAAGGAGGGAGTAAACAAGAAAATTGAAACTATAAGAGAAAATGTGTGGTGAATACCACAACTTAAATATTCAGTGTTGAGAAGCCAAAAGGACTCACCAGTGAGAGACTGTGAGAGACTTGCCCTAGTGAAGGAACCAAGTGAGTAGAGTACTTGGGAAAATCTCACAGCTGAGCACACCACCCTTCTGCCCGGGCTGTCCTCCTAAGGCTACCGTTCAGTCCAGTCATGCCACCACAAAGCAACATCAATCACCACAGACTGCAGGTACAAACTTAGTTCTCTAGTATCATACAAGAGGCAAAGAATTCTTCTCACCTAGCGGTGTGTTATCTGATGAAACATCATAGTGCAATGCTTCACTCATGTGTCTATAACAACACTTTGAAAGCAGATCTATAATAATGTCAGTCCTATAATAATAAAGCATGTGCAATTGTGCATAACACATACTGATAATAAATAATTGTGTTACTGGCTTATGTGCTCATATTATACTTTTGTTAGTTCAGATAGCATTGCATCATAAAGAAGCTGACTGTAGTCAGCCATGTTATACCAGCAAGAGCTCATATGTCTCCAGTTTGCCTCATTTCTTGATTGCTTCTGGTTTTATACTTTGTTTTCACTCTTTCATTTGAAAGGCAGTGTGGCAGAAATAGAGATGGACAAAAACAGAGGAAGAGATACACAAACTGAGATAGATTCCCCCAATCCACTGCTTTACTGGCTACAACCAGAATCTTGAAATTAAAGCTAAGTCTCCTTTGGGGTGGCAGGAATTTAACTACTTGCACCATGACATACCACCTCCCAGGACTTCCATTAGCAGTAAACTAGCCAGGTGCTGCCCTAAGAATCAAACCCGTATTTTTATGAGATGCAAGAATCTTAATCGATAAGCTAAAAATCTGTTCCTTGTACTTGACTCAATTTTTTTCATATTGATCTCTAAGTGCATAAAATTCACTATTAGTATTACCAGAAAGAGGTTATATTTTCACATAATTATTCAAGAATTAAATTGAAAGTGATTTGATATAAATAATAAAATTTTATTCTTTTATACCTGATACTATACATATGTGTATTATACATATCATTTTTTTATCCATTAATCTGGAGGCATTCAAATTGAGTCTCTTTCGGCTATTTGGCGGCTACTGACAATGTGGCTATAAAGATGGTGGTACAGATATCTCTTTGATGAAGTGTATCCTGTTCAGTGACATAAATCAAACACAGAAGAAAATACCATATGTTCTCTGTTATGTATGGGAGCTAAAATTTGAAAGAAAAATCAAAAAACCAAAAAGAAAAGAGATTCCTGTGTGTACCAGCTTTGTGGCATAGTGTTTTGTCACTCTATTTTATATTCTAGCCAAATATATTAAGAATTACATGCTGTTATAGCTATAATGAAAGTAAAGAAAGTGCTATGAGACTATGAAAGTTAAAGATAAATAATGTTAAAAGTCCAGCATCCTATTGTCACGATATATTTAACTGTTTCGCCAGGAGTCCATATTTTATTTGGGAGTAGAAATGGATACTGCAATGCATCTTCACTTCTTGGTATGCTAGCCTCCATTATCTAATTCTTCTAGATGAATATATGTAAACACATGTCAGATAGATCAATCAATCTTTTATTTTACATGAAGATTGCCTTATACCAGAATATGAACATAATAGTCTCTAGTTAGGACCATTTTGTTAAATGGTAGAGTTTCATTCTTTTTCATGGCTGAGTAATATATCTAAAACTACAATGTCAGGATATTCTTACGTAGCAGAATTATGGACTTTTGAGTGTTGTAAAAGGAGTGTGCTATTGTAATAATATATGGGAAATCAGTGAAGGGGAGGAGAAAGGAGAAATTCCTAAGCCTGTGGAAATGTGTCTTAAAAAGTTTTTAATGGAAAAAGTGAAAAACAAGTGATTATAACTAGGCGGTTATGTCCCATGCTACAATAATTATGATTTTGAAGAACAAAAGTAAAGTCACAGAAACTGTTACAGGATATTTTGCTAAAAGCAATGAGACTAACAAAATTTGAGAAAGATTTTGTATCAGACACAGAGATCTCTAATGACCTAAATTTCAAACACAGAACATGCCCTTCTCATCACTGTGACAATCATAGCTAATGAAAAAGTTTCTTCGCAATGTTGAAAGAAAAGCCTTAGCAACTATGGTACTGAGTTTACTGCATGCCTGTGTCATTCAAATGCTTTAGGATTAGTCTTTACAGAGTAGACATGGTATGTCCTCCAACGTCTCGTATATTGAAGAGTTTTCTCTACTGTTGACTCCACATTGTCTCCAGTGTGACAGTGTTCAGATACAAGTGGACTTTTAAAAAAGATTTATTTATTTTTATTGGAAAGTCAGATCCACAGACAGGAGAGATGGCCACAATGGCCCGAATGGCCACAATGGCCAGAGCTGAGCCATCTGAAGCTAGGAGTTTCTTCCAGGTCTCCCATGAGGGTGCAGGTTCCCAAGACTTTGAACCATCCTTTACTGCTTCCCCAGGCCACAATCAGGGAGCTGGATAAGTGTAGCAGCCAGGACGCAAGCCAGCACCCATACGGTATCCTGGTGCAAGGTGAGGATTTAGTCACTGAGCCATCACACTGGGCTCACAAGTGGAACTTTAAATGGCATGGCCTACTGGGAGGTTGCAGGACTGTTACCCTGCCCTCACAGGAGCTTCTAATTTGGTCTTTCTCTCATACATACTTTCCTCATTATGCTTTCACATACCAAGAGGTCTTTACCAGCTCTAAATTTATGCTGGCATCATGTCCTTGTATTTCCAAAACCATAAGCCAAATAGACATTTTCTTTATAGTGTCACTCAATATCAAATATTTCATTATAGAGACAGAATGGTCTAAACTTTCCAGTTTGGAAATAGATGCCTTAAAATACATTCTTCCATAAAAAGGCCAAGTCAGTGCCGTGTTTCAAAAGGTTTATAGTTTTGGCGTAATGTTGCAGGCCACCTAAATGAAACACTGAAACACTCCTAGCTGTGACTCCCACGGAATTGGCTAATAGGTTGCTGAAGCTAGAACAGAAAGATAGAGTGAAAAAAATGAGAGAAAAGAACAAAAGAAATCAAAAGAAAATTTACAGTACAGATTTTAGCAGAAGTTTTTCTAAACCTCACCAAGTGTCTTAAAATGTTTGAAAATATGAGCTTAAAATATAAAGGTTTTCATTGAGAGGAGGATGTATAGTGTATTATCAACTAACAAGCAAATTATGATTAACAAATAACAAAGATATAATGCAAATCACCTTAGAAATATTTTCTGAAGGAATTAACCCTCCTCAAGGAGGACCCAAGTTAGGGCCCTCAGGGCACATCCAGAAGAAAGCCTTCTTGTCATAGATGATAACATCTATTTGTATAGTAGAGCTGGGCAACAGTGGCATCAGTAACCCTGCCCCTCTACAGACTTAAGCTGTGTTTGCATCTAAATTTCAGCAAGAGTTCTAAAGTTATGAAAAAATAAGTAGAAAGATTTTAAAATGCACAAAGGAGACATAATGTATATTTATACCATGTTTGTGTTTTCAGAAAAATATCATTTCAAGAATCAAAAAGCTAAAGACTAAAAATTTAAAAGTGAAAAGCTGCATTAAACTAGTTTATAATTGACAAAAACATTTTATAAATTTAGTGTTAATTTTACAAAGTTTATAAAGTCCATAATAGTGCACAATCCTAGATTTTCACAATTACTCATCACTCTCCCAAGTTACACACCCAAAACAATATGCAATCCCACAAGCCCCTTTCATGATAAGTATCCTGTACAGGTATACTATTTTTAATCATTTATGCCATATATTTACTGTACATTTTCTATGTTTAGCTATGTTTAGATATTCAAGTGTCATTACCTTATAATTGCCTAAAGAGTTCAATATGGTAGCATGTTTTACAGTTTCACGGTTTAGGAGGAGTAGGCTATGAGATAGTTTAGGAACAAGGATCATACCAACTTAGTTTATGTAAGTGTGCTGCATGATGATCACGTAATAATAGTCGTATGATCATTTCTGAGAGCCATTCTCTTTGCTGCCCATCTCCACTTTTTGCAAACGGCTCCAGCACAAATCCTCACAGACAGGAAGGTAGAAGTCTCAAATCTCTTATTTCTCTCCCTGCCACCACTGTAGGCTGACCTGACATCACTGGTTCTCAAACTTCATTGGGACCTCCATTTCTTGTCTCCCCTCTACCCCTCCTCCTACCAATCTTATAATCCGTTCTCAAAGTGGCCAGAGTGATCTTTGATATTTGGATTAGATTGTCATACATTTCATAACATTATGAATAACTTAAACTAGATCTAAACTAATTAGTGTATGTGGACCTATTTTATGATCTTTCCTCCAACCAAATCCACCCTCAGTTCATGACACTGTCTGTTAAGTGCCAGATATTCTAGCATCTTCTAGTTTTTCCATTCCAATTGCTTTCCATTCTGGATTCTACCTGTGCCATTCTACCAGAAACTCCTCTGGCTTCTGATTAGTTTCTGCTCAGCTGCCCAGTCTCTGTTCCAGTGTTATTTTTTCAAAACAGTATTCATTTACATCTTACCTGTGCTAAATCCTTCCAAGCTTTTTTGTTTGTTTTCTA